TTTCGGAACAGTCAACAGGGACCTGCCCGAGGATGTAAGGATGCGGGGGGATTGTGGGGAGTTAAACGTTCATAAATATGGCTGGGTGCCACGCCTAAAAGAGCTTTAAAAGTGATCGGTAAAATCTTAAAATCAATTCTAAAACGCAGTGGAGGGATGCTAAAACAGGGGTGATGTGCTTCCTTCTTTAAAACCAGTGAGAAGTCTGGCTGCTGCGTTCTGGACCAGTTGGAGGCGGGAGAGGGATTTGGAATCGAGACCAGAGAGGAGGGAGTTGCAGTAATCGTGTAATGACACAGAGCTTACGGGTGGAGGAAGTGATGTTTGAGGGGCTGAGGTGGGTTTGGATGGTGGAGATTGATGGGGGCAGGTTGACGAGGAGGACCACCACTGTTGAGTTGCCATCCAACAGTTCAAATCATTAAAACAGTCAACCACAGCAGCCAGACTTTCATGGTCGTTATCTGTGTGTTGTTATCTGTGTGTCGTCCGCATAGCAGTGGAAGGACACGTTAAGCGGGGCCGCAACGTGTCCTAGCCTCAAGAAAGATTGAGCTGACATTCACAGGTGGCCAAGAATTTCCCCAGTGCGTAAACCTTTCAAAGTCTGCAAGAGAAGGGGAACTAGGACGGACCTGGGCCACGTGGAGACGGGGGATGTGGATCCGCTGTCATTCACTACAAAGCGTCCCCTATTGCTTCAGCTGCAGAGCAGAGACAGAGAATGTGGAAGGCTGGGGTGACAGAAGTGCCATTGCATGATTGTTAACGATTAGACACGTCTGGTATAAACTGCTGTCCGTCAAATAGAAATATCTCTGATGTGACGTAGACACGACGCAGCTGGTATCAAAGCGGTGTCAGCCCCTGGAACTCCCCAAAACATAACAATAAGGACACATTCAGGTGCTTGTATTGTATCATTTAAAAAGGCCTGGCTTAAAATGTTTTGTATTGCTCTAAAAACATATTTTTATACCACTTGTGAATAAGCAAAAGTGTCCTATCAATGGATAAAACTGAGTTATTATTGAAATTTAAGAGTGCATTATATATCTTGATTTTAGTAAGAGCCATCTCCTTTCATATTTAATGTATTTAACAACTAATGTCTCTAGCATATCTGTGCCCTTGCACAAACAGTGTTATTTAAATTGGTCTACTCTCAATTTAACACACCAGTGGTTTTGTTTTAATTGCAAGACAAAAAAACAACAGAACTAGTCATTGGAGAAATTAAGCAAATTAGGCCCTACGCTGACATGTTAAAGGTTGTCAAAATTAACTTTGTGTGTTTGTTCTCGTGAAATGGGTATATGTATTTATGTTATTCAAACAGCTTTAACAAATGGTTATTGTTTATAGTCCTACACATTCATCTCTCCATTTTCTTCTGTAACGCCAGGTTAAGGGGGTAGCTGTCTAAGCAGAGACGCCCAAGACCTCCCTATGCACACACACTTCCCAAGGTGTATCCCAGGCCAGCTGAGAGACATCTTCCCTGGAGTCTCCTCTAGTCTCCAATCCAACCAAAATCATTATTTGCGTTAAATACTTAGATGTACTTCTTGACACTTTTATAACATTATCAAGAGTTGACTGCAAGCCATTTTAACAACTACAGCATCATTAGGCAACATTCTGTCAAATATATATAGCTCACTTCTGTTGTATGTGGGAAAGGCAATAGATAATAACAACTCAAATCTGAAATGTGTTTTGGAACACATTCATCTTGACTCTCAATGATGAATCCCCATATTTGAGGCACCAACTGGCATAACCATCATTCTTCCTTCATTCTCCAGTTAACATGATGTATGACTGAGGTGCTGAGTACCAGCGCCTGGTCTTTCATTAGGGATGAAACATTGACTTTAATTCAATCTCGACAAACAGCTCAAAGATAAACTTTTAACTTAAGTGAAAATGTGCACACCACGTCGATCTTCCGCCAAATTTTCTTAATTTACATCTGCATACAAATTCGATCCTCTGCAAATGTGTCCGAAAATGTGCCGGTATCTTAAAATGTGCCGGTATCTACTTCCGGGTTTTTCGGGATCGCCTTTTCTCGCATTACATCAGTGTTTTTGTCATGAAAACGTAAACGGAAAATTCTGAAAACTTCCGTGCACTATTAAGACTGGATATGTATAATTCACTCTCCGATAAACATTTCATTGCGTTGATTGATTGGCATCTGCGTTTATTGAGCGGCCAGAACTACTTCCGGGTTTTTCACGATCGCTTTTTGACGCAGAGAAATAGTATTTTTGTCATGAAGACAAGACCAGAAAATTCTGAAAATTTCCGTGCACGTGTGTGAAGAATGTATATGTATAAGTATTCTCCGATTAACATTTAAGTGTGTTGATTGAGCGTGGCTAGCTCAGGAGTGGCCGGAACTACTTGCGGAGTTATCCACGCATTTGAAATACAAGCAGAGAGTGCGTTGCCATGGGCAGCGGTCATTATTGTTTTGAGAGGTCCGTTATAGAAAATAATGACCGGTAGAACGTTTTGAAATTACATTCAAATCAATGGAGCGTTCTACTGCCGCTGTGAGGAGCCGTATAATAAAGAGAAATAATCAATCAGGCTGGATCTTTGAATATTGCTTAAAATGATAAGACCATCATCAATGGTGTGATAAAAACATTGTTCATTGGACAAAGCTTCAACAACAGAAAAAAACTAAAAGATGGCAACCAAAAAACCTGTAATTTAAGATTAAGAGATCCTTTATTTGTCCCACAGTGGGGAAATTTCAGTGTTGCATCACAAGTTATAGAGTAGTAGGAAAGAGGAACACACAGCACAAGGTAAGTGAACAATAGCTATACTAATTAAAATAAAACAAAATATCTAACTCTAGCATCAAAGAACAACTATAAAATCTACGCATGCGTGGGCAGGAGCCAGCTGCAGAGTTGCATCACTACTAGCGGTGGGAACCTAAGGGTACCTCACGATACGATACGATACACGATACAAAGCTCACGATAACGATATTATCACGATAACGATATTATCACGATAACGATATTATCACGATAACGATATCACGATAACGATATATTGGTCAGAAATATACAATATGCCAATTTATGGCATAAATAAAAGAAAATATACACTTTATTTCATGATAAATTAAATGGAGATGCGTAATATAGCCATATATTAAGTATTGATACCTTTTTTATTTTTATAAAAAAATAATTCATTTATTAATAAACGATATTGATACTTGGCAAATGCATATCGATAATCGAATCGCGGGAGAAAGTATCGCGACATATAGAAAAATCGGTATATCGTCACACCCCTAATCACTCCCTTAGAAAATATCTGGGATAGTGTCTCCATTGCCTTGCATGGAGACACTAATTCCATCTTCTTATGCTTTGTAAACTCAATATGGGCGGTGTGTTTTGTCAATACAGAACAGGATTACACTTTGTGAATGTTACAGTGACAAGGATTTTTGATCATGTTAGGTAGTTATTTAACATTCCCCCCTCCCCTGGACAGTCACCACACCCACCAGCAGCAACCGGCCTTTGCATTGTTGCACTCTGAACACACTAGCAGTTACATGAAGGGGACAATGTTGCATGGATGTCAAAAATGGCTAGAGGTAACTCTATTCAAAAACAATCCTTCTTGAATTGTGGTCCAATTTTGATTTGATTCAAACAGAACTAGAGAGAACAATATCCAAACTCATGTTACATTAAAGTAATCTTTGTCCAAATACTTCCATAATGTGAATGTGTAAAGTTATTATCTCCCCAAATACAAAATATGCTTCAACCTTCAGGATTACAATTGATTCAACACTTGTTCAGAAGATGACAAATGTGAGTGAGGAAACAAGTCGATACGACAATATGATCTTGAAAGGCTTCATATTAAAAAGTGTGACATTCAAACTTCCCAGACCTCAACATTTATTGACCAAAGAAATCTATAAATAAAACATGTGACTTGTATGAGGTAGAAAAGCATTATATTATAATTGGTGGCTGCAGCCGCAATATTGCACACTATTGCATGGCATACCATACCATATGTTAACTGCTTGGCCAGCCAGATCCTCCTCCTTTCTTTCACAAGATAATGTTCCATCATTCCACAATGATTTACCTATTGCTACAATAAAAGAGACGGCCAAGATTGCTTTGCAGAGAAAAAATGCTGTTACTTATCTATTTCAACCTGAATAAACTTAGTTCTAAAAAGATATAGCATGACTATTATACAAAGTTAACATACCGTACTTATACTACTTATATAAAGTATTAGAGTGGTAAAAATAATATAAATGTAAAATGGGGCTGGAGAGCCAAAAAAAGCAGTTATTACTAACGTTTTCCATATAAAGTATGTGACAATGTATAGTGGCTACAGTGGATAAACAGTACATGCATATTGTGAAATTAAACTAAAAGGAAAATTAGGCTATAACATTAAGATATAAATGTATATATAATAAACATAACATTATTCATTTGCTTAATATTGCCAAATTCATACCATCCAACCTTCCATTTTCTTCCCCTTAATCCATTTCTGGCTCGGGGGGGTGGCAGTCAGAGCTGCACCCAGTACACAGAGCACCAGCACCTCACTGATCCTCCTGCAGGAGGTGAGTCCACAGGAGCCACCAAAGCCACAGAATTCATACCAAATTTACTCTTCCATCACTCTGCGCATAATGATCAAGAGCTGATTGTATTTACCACATTTTAATAGTGAAAACAGTGCTCTCGCTCTTGCACTCTATATACTGCTTTCCCGGGCCTATGCCCTACTCGATACTTTCTCTTTGATTTGATTCGCAAATATGTTCAATATGAATGCAACAATTGATTCGTTTGCACGTCGCTCTTACACATCTGCCTCTGCTCCTCTACTGTGTGGTCTCACTGAAGGGCAGAGGTTTGTTTCCGTAACACTGGTTAGCTTCTACCAAACACCCTCAAGGATACTGTATGTCAGAAAGACAGTTGTTGCCAGGACAGAGAGTTTCCAAGTGGAGCCGAGCGGATACTACACACAGCAGGCATAGAGCGTCTGCCGCAGTGTAGGCCACTGTGAGTGGACAGCTGGTTGAGGTAGCACAGCAGCTGACGAAACAAGACACGCTGCTACCTGCCATCACCGGAAGTGCAGAACACTACACCGGGATGTTCGAGACATCCTGTGGACTGCCCTGCCCGACCTGCCTGGGAGCTGTTTCAGTCCTGCACCGGACCTGTCCATGTTCTGTGGCCGCTGCGTGGCCTTGGTCCACGTTCTGTGGCTTAGGTCCTGGATCTATAGCTCGTCTGTCCGTGTGGAGCAGATCTCTCTCTCAATGTCGGTTTCTTTGAGGTTTCTCACTTTTTTCCCACTGTTTTTGTTTTTTTGTTTTGAGTTTTTCCTTGCCGATGCAGGAGGGTTTGTTGGACAGTTAGTGTCTAACAAGAAGGACTGTGGTCTAGGACACTTTAACATTCTACAACATGTATGGACATTCCTTTTTGTGTCTTGACTGTTGATTCTCTGATCTGTGTTGGTGATTTCAATGGTTTTGTTAAGTCCTCTGAGATGTCTTCCGTATTTTCTGGCCGGTTCCTGGTTATTTTGGATTTTGAAGTTCTGTGTTTTACCTTCGACTTTATTTTATTCAATCAATATTGTGGCATTCCTGCATTTGAGTCCTCATTCATCTCACCCCGTGACACAGAGCCCCTTACAAAATATAACAGTTACTTCAATGTACAGTAAAAGTGAGGCTGAACTAGCGCCATAGCATCAGCTGTTCATGGAGAGAATGTCTCTTGCCTTGAGACAAAATATGAATTAACATGGAAATGGATAGCGATGTTTCTAATTGGACTTGCTACTGGGCCACTAGATAAAACGACAACGAACAAACTTTAACCTTTCGTTTTTCTGTAATAACAACATATCATTTTTGTCTGCGACTTCAGGAATAAATCATTCTGCCCTGTGTGGAGTTTGTAGCTGTGTATTGGCATGGCCAGGAAACTGCACTGAATAACAGTTCATTATTTTGAGAACAATACTGTCGGGCAGCACTGTCCTTCAGTAAAAGTGTTATTCTAATTTCTGTTAGTTTAGCTTGTTTAGAAAATAAAAACATGGACTAAAAATATATCTATAATAAGAAATCAAATCATATAAAGAAATCAAACTGAAATCCTCATATCGCAATATGTATCGAACAGTGACTTCAGTGTATCGTTGCATCCCTAGTAGTTATATTATACTTGGGCTTCCTTGACCCAAGCGGGTAATGCATTACGTCCCAAATCAATTGATAGATTGGCCCCGTCAGAGCTACCGTGACTAAATCAGCTGCTCCTGATGATTCAGCACCAAGCAGGAGCCGGGCCTGCTGTCACCAATCACAGATCACCAGCCACTCAGACAGGTATGGACATTCCCCTGTCACTTGAACCTAATTTATAGCTATCTACTACATTGATTAACCTTGTGCTGTGGTTTAAGCTTCCTATAAAATGTGTATGTTGGAAGTAAAGAGTAATTTGACAGAGAGAGAGGCGATCGGAAACAAAGGAAACAGAATATTTAGAATTTTTTTTAAGCCTAATACTACATCATTGCCGAGGCAGTTGGTGTTGATCAAGCATGTATGGACATTAACAGACATTTATTAACATTCATGGACATTGGTCATCTGCCCCTTACGAACCAATTGCCCTGTGTGTTTTTTTATCATTGAATTTGTTTGGACCGTTGATCTGTGTTGGTGAATTGACGACTTTGTAAACTCCTCAGAGATACCTGCTTTTGTGATGTAGGGCTACAAAAAAATACATTGAATTGAATCAAATTGAGAAAAAGGTGTCAGAAAGCAAAAAAACTGTGTTTATTTATATTTCATCTGAGCAAACATCTTGGCAGTTTGTTGGTGCGTTTCCTTTCCATGCTTAAAAATTCAAAAGTTGAATAGCTACGCAATAATTAATGCCATTATTGGCTAATGTAAATTCAACAACTAAAAAAACATTTAGCTCAAAAAAGGTAATATTAATACACAAAAAGAGAACCTTTAGTAGAAAATGTGTCTCTTTCTTAGTATATTGGGTATACAAAACCATCTTCAATACACCTGGATTCCGTCAGGGAGTACCTGAGCTGTGAAGAGGGAGCATTTTGTTCTTTGCATCTGAATGATTTACTCTCTGGTCTTTCTGGAATAGCTAGAGGCTGTCAACAATCTCCCAGCTGAAGCCTCCAAAACACAATTCACAGATCCAATGAACCAGTGCTGAATTGTTTAAAGAACTGAGGTGTAACAGTGCTCTTAGAGTGAACTATATATTCGCTTTTTGTGGATTTCTGTTATACTTTTAAAAGGTTTAAAAAGTTTAATCAAGATGGATTACACAATTTATTCCAATGAAAAAGTTGAACAAAAGGTTTTTAAGCATAATATTAATATTGCTAATTAAAATATTATCATGGACCCACCTTTAGCATCCATAACACATAGACAACAGAGCATCACAGAAATGCCCTCAATCACAAGCACACAACTCTAGTTTCTCTACACGAGAAAAGTTGCAACACATAAATATCCAAGAGCAGCAACGTCTCTACTGTGTTCTTGCTGCAGTGCCTTCACATGTGTGTTAGGACCTGCCCTACAGAACAAAGTGGTGTTTTACATAGTCATTAATCCAGGAGACATGGAGATTAAAATATGTGTTTTATCCGTCAATAACTAAACAGACAAGGGAAGCAAGATGGTGTCCCTGTGCTGCGATAATAAATGAGTAGAGCAGTGCTTGCAAAAAATCTTGTGAGCCCCCTAAGGTAGAGAGGTATTTAACAGTTAACATGTGTATAGGATTTGTAGGAAAAGCGTCAAGTCTCCCAGTTGTATTCAGGTGATGTCTTATTTGACATTTAAAGTCCATTGCTTTTTAAACTACATCCATTTATCTGGTAATTAGTGCTTAAGTGTGTGTATGGGACAGATCTGTCAATAAATATAATGTTAGAGGAGCACTTACATTGTTCATGTATTCACTCAGCAGGTCTTGAAGGGCCTGCCGAACAGCGTTGCATTCTGCCACAATGCGTTCTCGGCGGTCGTCACGAGTGCAGGAGGAGTCCGCCATCAAAGCAGCTCCACTGATAATGCTTTCTAGACGCTCCTCCAGAGACGGGCGGAAACGTGCCTCGCTGAATGTCAGAGGGTCCAAGATGATCTTGTTCTGGAAGGTAAAGGAAGAACACAAAGACGAGCAAAAGGTCAGTACATTATTGTGGGATCAATTGGACTCAACAACAATGAGTGGAGGACTTGGAGAACCGAACACAGGAGAGAGTAAAAGATGTTGTCAACTCTGATTATTACAAAATCTGTATGTAAATATGCATATTCTTCCTATGGACAAACACTTGGAACATCATCACAGAGAACCTTTTCAAAAAGGGTCAGAGCAGGCTAACAGGGGACCCACCAAATTAGGATTATGAGATGACCTGGGTCAGACGAGTGTGCATACATGCCACTTCTATGTGCTACTAATTGTAAGAGCTGTGATTGATATATGGGTGATTGATGTACAAGAGATGCCTAGTGTAGCACATGAGGTTAAATGGGCAGCATGGTGGCTGACTGGATAGCACTCTCACTTCTAAGCAAGAAGGTCCTGGGTTCGAATCCCGGTCGGAACATGTCCTTTCTGAGTGGAGTTTACATGTCCTCTCCGTGTCTGCGTAGGTTTCCTCCGGGTGATCCGGTTTCCACTAGCACTAAAAACGTGTTAAATGAGGGCTTTGATGCACCAGTCTGTTCGGCGTCTCACTTTTGTCATCAGAGTGTCTGAATGGAATAATATCTGATATCTGAACATTGCAAAGCGCTTTGGGTGACCTTGGTCTGTAAAATGCGCCATATAAATAAAGACTTACTTAAGTTTGACACGTGTGTGTCTGCATGTATAGGTGTGTGCATGCATTTTTTCCCTATCTGTGCAAATAACAATGACAGATAAGTGGAAAGATATTGTGACCAGCAATTACTATAATTTGTTGCAGATTCTCAATTAGATTTTTTTCACATTAATTGTCTTTTTTGTTTAAAATGAGATTCTACCTAATACCTTTTGGAGAATTAAAGTGCTTTACTTTCAGGATTGCTCTGTATTTTTCATTCACCTTCCCATCAACTCCGACACTCCATGCTTAATAACAACTAACCACCACATACCAAACTGTGCCACCGTGTAAACCGGTGCTGTCCTTGTTTGGCTTGTCAGTTTAAACCTCTCCCCAACTTCATTCCAGACTTTTCTGGTGTGTTCCGTGGACTTTATTTTCAGTAAACTGTGTCATAAACATTGCCTTTACAAACTTCTAAGCCAAGGCAATCAAAATATAGCTATGGTATGATATGGCCGATACCCTTTCCTAATTGTTTACTTCACACATACAATCTATTTCTGTTCATGGTCCTAAAATAGACAAAAATAACATCAATGCACTGTACATAATTTCAAAGAGAGTAATGACTTACTGTATATCAATGTATTTCCATATCGGAATTCCAACAGAATTCAAAACATACACTTTTACAAGTCATGCTAATTTACTGGCAGCTTATTCGTGTTTTGTATCTACACTCCCTACTTTCTCCTAACGTAGGCCTGGCCACACACCAGCATCTCACACTTGATGACCACTGAGCAGTTTCTCTCACATTCTCGGTTTGACACTGAAGACCAAAGGCTGTGAGTGGGAGGCAGAAACCAACTAGTATAAAATGGATGCTCTTATTGCCACCTCTAAAGCTTTGATACAGGATTTGTGTTGATCTTTTCCAGGCATTCCCCTGCTGTTATAGGATTATTACTTTTTTCCATTATTTTTTATTTTTTTTGGTGACAATGTAGTTTTTGCAAAATTCTACTATTTTAAGCGATGAAGATTTAGTGATTTGACTCCAAACCCAAACTGGTCCTGGGTCAGAATGACAGATTATGCAGAAGAAGACCAAAAAAGAGCGCAGTAATCATTAGGGCTGGGCGATAAAACGCGATAGACACGTGCTCGATATCAATAGAAAAAGGGGTCGATAGAATGTGCGATAACTTAACTCACTCCGTTAGAAAAACCAGGAAGAAAACACAGGAAGTGAAGCCGAGTCACAAGCGAGCTGCATTCTGGGGGACGTAGGCAGAGGTTTCTCAACCTATCACGGCCGAGCACAAACCGCAAAACATTCTGGGAAATGCAAAAACAAACAACCGCACCATGCGTAGCGTCCATGGATCTATAGATTGTGTTTCAATGCCGTGTCAATGGTTATGTGACTCTGTACCCACTGCCTCTCCCGTGCCGCTCATGAATGCATGCAGCAAAAGCAAGAGATTAATTTGACACTCGAACACAGCCAAAACAGAGGAACCAGGACTAAACCAGGATTAAACCAGGACTGACAATGGGGGACACTGAGTTTGTGAACATTTGCCTCCAGCCTGAGTTCTCATTCCCCCGTGACTGTAAACAAGTGCTGCTAACGTGTGTTAGCCGACATGACAAATGTACTTATTTAGGTTTAAAATTATATATATATATATCAGTGTTGTGCCAGTTCACAACTTTTCTGAACTAGTTCAAGTTCAGTTCATCCATGCTCAAAGTGAACAGTTCACGTTCAAAGTTCACAATTTTAATTCTGAACTAGTTCAAAGTTCAGTTCATTTTCCTTTTTTTGTGAAATAGTCAAATAAATGCTTTTTTTCACACTACAAGCTATAATATATATATATATATATATATATATATATATATATATAATCTCCTGGAGACCCACAGGAGGAGAGCCTTTTGACTACAAAACAGACAAGATTTACATGGTTTTCAATGGGAGCCAAACGGAGTTGCCCCATCTCTGCTCATAAACTACAGACAGTAATGCGCTGCAGTGCGTGTGTCTATACTTTATGTCAAATGTAAACTGTGTAAACTTTGTCGCTAACTCACCCTGTGTTTTCATCACGACTCGGGCACATGTGAAAAGCACCAGCTCACAGCGCCGCACCTCAACACAGAGTGGGGGTACGTTCACAGACGGTGGAAACCGTAGGAATTTTTAGATTTCGGCGGAAAAAGTGCGAGAATACAGGAGGGAGGAACTTTCTCTTGTTGCGTTTCAAAAGAGAAAACAGATTCCAACGTTCATAGTGATGTCTGCCGTTCATGACACATAAAATGAACTAATTCACGTTCAAGTTCTTTTTTTAAAAATGTTCAGTTCAACGTTCACAAAAAAATGAGCGTGTTCAATGAACGCGTTCTTTTGAACTCGTTCACGCACAACACTGATATATATATATATATATATATATACAGTGCCTTGCGAAAGTATTCGCCCCCCTTGAACCTTTCAACATTTTCAGTTTTTTATTTGTTAAAAAAGTTTAAATTATCCAATACATTTCGTTCCACTTCATGATTGTGTCCCACTTGTTGTTGATTCATGAGAAAAAATTAAAATTTTATATCTTTATGTTTGAAGCCTGAAATGTGGCGAAATGTTGAAAGGTTCAAGGGGGCCGAATACTTTCGCAAGGCACTGTATATCGATTTTGACCGATAGTAATCACTTATATTGTAGTATAGTTTTCAGCCATATCGCCTAGCCCTACGAATAATTATTTATTTGTATTGGTTACAAAATAAATTAGAAAAATAGATACAATACAATACAATACAATTTATTCTTGTATAGCCCTAGGTCACAACAGAAGTCATCTCAGAGGACTTAACAAAACCATTGAAATCACCAACGCAGGTCAGAGATTAGATTTGTATTAGTACTGTCAAATGACTACAATTATTAAAATATTTAATCACGATTAATTGTCTTAATGTCATGATCGTACATTTGTATCTATTCTAAATGTCCCTTGATTTGGACTGTGACCTTGACATAGTGGTGATTACTGATGGACATCCAGTAATCAAACATGAGCGCGAGTGCTTTTTTTTTTCTAGGTATGCATCAATACTACTTTTTTTTTAAACGATATGAGTGGGAGTACCTTCATTTGAGTACTTGCCGATACCAAATGCATAAGAGTACTGCAATGTGTTATCCCTGGGAATTCATAAAACTAATGCAGAAATTGAAAATGTTTAATTTCTCTTTTCAACATTGTTACGCGGCCCGGCGTAAGCCTTCTCCTCTCCACAGATAACAGATCTTTCAGCTCCGCCCTGATTGGCTGGCGGTCCGCCAAAAAGCAGCAGGTGTGCTGATGGCCTCTCTCTCTCCCTCCAGCCCCTTGACACACTGGTCCAGACCATGTTCTGGGACAGATGTGTCAGGCCAACGGCACTCGGCTTTCGTATGATTTGATTTTACACGCACTTGCATCCAACGCGCACATTTATACATAAGGTTATCCTACTGATCAGAATCAGAATCAGAATTATATATCACTTGCATTACACGCAGCCACTCATATTACACTTACACTGACCACAGTATTAATATATTATTATTATTCTTTCTTTACCAATAAATGCCAACAGGCTTTAAATCTGGCTGTTGTGTCGTTCCCCCTTTTTCCTTTGTTGCAGCCACTGAGCCGGGCTGTAACAAACATCAAGACAATGCTTGAACAATACAAAAATGTAGTAATTGTTTTGATGTTGTATGAGTATGAATACGAGAACAAGCCTATGCTATCGATCCAATACCAGTATCGGTGCATCCTTAATTTTCCTCCAATGCCTGCCATTGTCACCTACTGTACACAGCGCACAAGTCTTTTGAAGCAGAAAAAGCGTATCGTCTAAAGTGCAGCAAGGCTGATTTCAGATACGTGTCCGTTGCAGAAACCTAGAGCATGCGCACGCACGCTAAAAAATCTCATGCACCTTTCTTCAGAGAAAGGTATATGGGTTAGGCAATTGCAGAAAATGTCACTCTTGTGATGTACAAAAGAAGAAAGGTAAGTGTAAATGGCTGTAAATGTAACAATAAATTAAACAATTTGATGTCCGTACAAAGTTATTAATTCATGCTGTATCAGTAAAAGACAGAGCACATTTCAGCTTGGCCCTTGAGGGATATCAGAGTGAGGATATGAGAAGACAAGATATGAGGAAAAGCATGAAGGAAGTATGAAAGCATTCCCAGAAGTCTCCATTCTTATGCCACACTTATGTCAGGTTTCAATTATGAAAAACATTGGGAATT